TATATATATATATATATTTGGCTCTCATGTTCATAAGTATGAACAATTTAAGGAGCCAATACAAACTTTAGTATTTTCATTTAAAAGGAATTCTGTTATTTCTCATTTTTAGAAATCTTTAACAGTACTTGGGGATATTTTATCCTTTTGGTTATTTTCTCTGAATATTTTCGACTTTATTAAGAGAGTTCTCAAAAAAAAATACTTAGTTTCAGAACTCCAACTATTATATAATCAAGCCTATTGCCTTCAAGTTGATTGACAGCAACACCATAGGACACAATAGAACTGCCCCTTAGGATTCTCAGGGATTTTATCTTTCTAGAAACTGGCTGCTGGACTTAGTGGCTGGTAGGTTCACACTACTTACTTTTGTTTTAACCACTGTACCACCAGTTGGCCCTCTTGTCATTGTCACACCTTCTCTACTTTTCCATTTTCATACTGTTTTCAAATGCAAAGACTAATTCTGAAATAACTAATCTATGTTTCACATTAACCAAAAACTGTTTCTCTAGTTATTTACAGAATATAAAGTTCTGCCATTGATGAGTCTGTAGTACAGCTCTGAAATGTTTGTTTAGTTTCTTTTCTTCCTTCTATAACAGCCTTACAGTCTGTGATGTTTGTTTTTGCTTTGGGCCTGTCTTGGTATATCCTTTTCTGTTTTCCCTATCCTTTATCTTTTCAGTATCTGACTGGCAACAAACCATTTTCAAAAGACTTCTGTAGCTCCATCTAATGTCCATTAATCTTTTAGTATATGTATCTCATCTTGCATTTTGTTTTTTTCTAATTAGATGTAATTTCTGTATAGGTTTAGAGGGCAAGCAATAAAAGCAGGCATAACTTGACTTTTCTTTATGATTGAGTTATTTTTGTTAAGTTCTTGAAATTAGATAGATAGGTAGATACAGCACTCTGGTGGCCTAGTGGTAAACTATGGTGTAATCCCTAAGGCATGGATTTCCAATACACTAGCTGCTCTGAGAGAAAGGGTGGGCAGTCTTCCACCCTGTGGTTTACTCCCTCTTGAAAACCCATTGGAGGGTCAGCTCTGTAGCTATGGGTAGATTCCTCCATGGAACAAAACAACTTTGTGCTACTTGATTCTTATTAGATATGTGCCTTCAGTAAAATTTCTTCCTGAATAACAGTTTTTTAATTTTAATGTTTCATTTCTTTTCGGAGCTCTCGTAGCCTATCTGCAATTCCAAAGGCACATGATTTGAATCTACCAGCTGCTCCTTGGAAAAGGATAGGCAGTCTCCCCCTGTGCAGTTAACAGCCTTGAAGCCTGCTGGAGGGTCACTTAGACTCTATGGTACACAACAATCACTAAAAAAATACATTGATGAATGATAAGTCTGACAAGAGTTAAAAGGGGAGTTTATAAGTCGTGTGGGGAGGAGGGTATTTAAGGGGAGTGGTGAGGTTTTTTAAGAATGTTTTTGGTAGCTTTGCACAGTGGCAATATTACAGCTCATGAGGTCTGTCCAAGGCACGATTATTGCTAATTTGAAAACTTTTTTTGTAAAAAAATTTTTTTGTTCGCACATTTTCTTTATTTGATAGGGTGTGGCATAGGAAATAGATCTTGTTGGATTTTTCTGCATGTGGAAACCCAATTTTCACAGCACCATTTATTGGAGAGGTTCTTCCACCCATCAATAAATTTTAAAATCAGGAAATGTTCTTTCAGTATTGTTTAGCTATTGTGGGCTTCTTGTCTTTTCTATGTAAAATTGAGGATTTTCTATTTTTGTAAAAAGAGGTGTAGTTTTGGTCGAGACTATGTTGAATCTGTAGGTTGCACTGACATTTTTAACATAACTAATCTGTGATCACAGAATATACATCTTCCCATTTGAACTGTTTCACCTCTTTCAGCAATGGATTTTTGGGGTTTTGTTGTTGTTTTGCATGGATTAAGTCCCACTGTGTCCCTGGACAGATTTACCCCTAACTTTATTCTCTTAAAAGGATTTACTTAATTTCTTTTTTCTCAGTGTTGGTTTATGGAAGAAGTCTGGTTTCTTGTTTGCTGACCTTGTACCTGGCAATCTAGCTAAACTTCTCTATTAACTATAGGATGTTTTGATGTAATATATTTGTAGGTCATGTAATCTTCAAGTAAAGATAATTTTGCACATTTTATAATTTGAATTCCCTTCTTTTTGGGGGGATGGTCACCTATGCCATATTGTTCTGGCTAGGCAATATTGAATAAATGTGGAGAGCAAACCCAGAAACTTGTTTCTCAGTCTTTCTCTGTTATATGTAATAGCTTTTCACTTTAAACATATTCCCTAACTTAAATTATATTTGGGTTCTATTTAGGGTTTTCATCAAGAAAGGATGTTGAGTTTTATCAAATGTTTTTCTTCCCTCAGAGGTGATCATGGGACCTTTTCCTGTATTCTCTTGATGTCTTATATTGATTTTTCTAATGTTGAACCATCCTTGCATAAACAATGAGTTTATCATGTGAAGGAAAACTTGTGTTCTTAGGGCTTAAGAATTTTTTAAAAATTTGGTGATAATTTTTTACAATGCTCTCTCTTCCACTTTTTGTTTATTAGGTGGTATGGTCAAGAAAAAGATTACAATGTGCTAGTCATGGATCTTCTTGGACCCAGTCTTGAAGACCTCTTCAATTTTTGTTCAAGAAGATTCACAATGAAAACTGTACTTATGTTAGCTGACCAGGTACGTTAGAGTTGATGAAACTAGAAACTGGGGCTACTTCTAATCCCACTTCTGTTTGTTCAGAACTCTAGAATATGACCACGTATGCTGTTTCTTTAACCTTAAATGTTCCATTTCTTTTAAAAATATTTTTGTGATAGGAGGAGATACTCATTCAGGTATTATATTACAAGTATATAAAATATATCTTTTAATATATCTTACTTTGTAGGTTGAGTTGGAAGCAGTACACACATTCTTATTTGGCTTTACTCTAATACATGAAGAGATACTTGTAATGATTTTAAAAGCCACTGTGTAACAAATGGAAAGGTTAGAATGTTTTTGTTTTAGTCCTTTCCAAGTAAGGGTAATTTTACATAATATTAAAAGACAAATAATGAATCTGTGAGTGTGACATTCATAACTTGAGGTGGTTGTCTTCTATAATTTCAAGTGAGATATTGTTTCCTCATGAATGTAATTGTTTTACTTGTAAGATTTTTAGTGGATAGGTGTAGGTAAATACATGTGCATACACAGTAATCCCTTGGTATTGGAAGAGGATTTGTTCCAAGAATCTGGATTTTCAGGTTTCTTTTATACATTGATGTAGTTAGTATTCTGTAGTTAGTATTATATGTGTGTTTTATGTGGGACCTTCGTGATAGGGTAGGTGTGGGGGCTACAAACAGAAAGATAATAGATTAAAATCTCTCAGGTGCTCTCTTGGATAAAGATGGGCCAGCCTTTTTGTCAAGCTTTACAGCTTCAGAAACCCAGTGGCAATGAGTTTTGATTATGAAAGCTATGTTTTCAGGGGAATAGAGTGCTAAAATAAACTGAAGAAGCATTTTTCACCAGTTAGATGGTATCTTTGTGTCACTGATGGTGTTTTAAGTAAACCCAGAGGAATTTTGAAGATAAAATGGTTACAGTTCATGTATTGTCTAATGATTGAGTTAGTCTATTTTTTTAGGTTTTTTTACCTTTTGACCTTGAGAAATGAGAAACCTAGCTTAGTGTGGGAGGAATAGGGCCAGGAACAAGATTTGAGGGGGAAAGATAACAGTAAAGATAGTAGGAAACTATTAATAGGAATTTATTAATATATAGGTCAAATTTTGGTCAAGATTTGTTCTAAGAATCATAAATTGTTAGAAGTACTTCATATTATACTAAATGTGCATAAGACAGTACTGCAAAGGAAAATGGCATTTATGTTGTTAGAAATATTCAAGAAGTTAGAAAGTAAAATGAGGTTATAACAATTGAGGTGGAATTTGTCTGTAATCTAAATTGAGAGGATTAGAATTAGTGTTCACTTTCTATAATCAGTATCTGATGTTCTCAGAGCTTAACAAAAACTACCAGTTGGCTCAGACAAATATTAGCAGATTTTTATAATGATCTATTGGTGGTACATTATGAACTGAGGCATAATTCATATTGATTATATTCTGTAACCTTGCTTGCTGAAACTGCAGAGGACCTAAAGTAGTTGCTGCAGAAGGTCAAGGACTATAGTCTTCAATATGGATCGAAGCTCAAAATTAAGAAGACAGAGTTTTAAGGAGCTCTGATAACCTAGTGGCAAGAAGCTGTGTTGAAATCCCTAAGGCGTGCAGTTCAAATCCACTAGGTGCTCCCCTGGAGACGGAGGGGCAATGTCCTCCTGTACTAGTAGGATCAGATTCAACAGTACACACACACACACACATACATTTTTTAAAAAAAAATGTCAATAAAGAAGATGATAAAAGAGTTTCACCATTAGCCCAACTGGCAACTTTATGATGGATGGAGAAGAAATTGAAGTTGTTAACAGTTTCGGCTTGCTTGACTCCACAGTTAACACTCTTGGCACCAGCAGTCAGGAAATCAAAAGATGAATTACATTGGGGAAGTCTGCTGTCAAGGACCTCTCTAGAGTGCTGAGGAGCAATGACATAAGTCTAGAGACTAAGGTGTTCCTGATCCACGCCATGGTCTTTGCAGCTATATGCACTGCATCAGAGAGCTGGACAATGATTTAAGAACGACAGAAGAATTGATTTTGCTGCCTTTGAGTTGTGGTGTTGGAGATGAGTACTGAATATACCATGGACAGCTAAGAGAATATTAAATAGGTCTGTCTTAGGATGAAACCAAGTTTTCATTGTAGGCAAGAATTTTGAAGCTCTGTCTCACATACTTTAGGCAGCTGTCCAGGAAAGACCAGTCTTTAGATGTCCTTTAAAAAAGAACATGCTTAGAAAGGTGAAGGGACTGTGCAGGAGAGGAAGTCCTTAGATGAGATGGATTGACAACAGTAACTGGGGTGATGAGATTAGGTGTGTTGGAGTCAGACTGGCTGAGGATAGGGAAGGGTTCAGAGCTAAGTAGAGTGCAAAATGGTGGAAAACTAAGATGCTATAGGTGGTTCTACGGTGGGCATCTTTGTTGAGTATACTGGTAACATGGGCAAGGAGTTGCTGAAAAGCAGTTGTTAAATCTTGCTTGTAAATGATAGGTAACACTTGAAGTGTCAGTAATTTGAGCCTTTAATTATCTTTTGTTTGATCTTTCCCAGTGTTGTAATAGTCATAATGTAATGGTGGATATTATCTAGCTGGGACACATAGATGTAAATTAAGTGACCAAAGTCTTTTATCTTCTTTCAGGAACTTTTATACCCAAGTACGTATACTATCTGTACATGTACTTCTACTTCCTTGCACTTATCCAATTAGGAAAATAAAAAAAGTACTAAAATAAAATTAGGGAAAAGAATATTGATGGAACTATGAATTCTTGTAGCCTGCAAAAAGAACAAGTAGGTAAGATAAATCTTGGAGAAAATGCAGACAAATTGCTTCTTGGAGGCAAGGAAGATGCTTTGTTGCACACACTTTGAGCGTGTTGTTAGGTGGGTCTGTTTCTTGGAACATTGAAAGAGAGTAAATACTCTTAGCAAGATAGAGTGACATAGTGAATGAAGCAGTGGGATGCAGTATGTCACATGATAACACTATGACAGGGTTCATTCAGATCTGTTGTTATCGGGTTACTGTGAGCTCTACTCAACTGTTACTGATTGCCTTCCAGTTGAGCATGAGTCATAGCGACCCCATGAACAAAAGGCCCAAAGCCCTTTTACAATAATAACTTTCAAAAGCAGTCTGGCAGCATCTTTCAAGAAGCCTGCACACTGCCATGAGTTGGAGAACAATGGGGAAAAAATACATTTCTAAATCATAGAGTATTAATTTGTTTTTAAGAATACTAGAATGTGGAAATTATCAAACCAGTTTCATTAATACCACATGCATGCAAGATCCTGCTTATCCAACAATGACTGAAACAGTACATCAACAGAGAGCTGCCATATGGGCAGGCCATGGGGGCTTAGGTGCTCGGGATATCATAGCCAATGTGACATCGACCTTGGCTGAAAGCAGAGAATACCAGAAGAATGTTCGTCTGTGTTTCATTGACTATACAAAAAAGCATGTGACAATGTGACTCACATCAAATTGTGGCTAACCTTGAGAAGAATGAGAATCCCAGAACATTTGATTGTGCTCATCATGTGACCCCTATACTTGAACCAGGAGGCAGTCCAGAAAAAACCAGGGAAACACTACATGGTTCAAATTCAGGAAAGGTGTATGCCAGGGATGCATCCTTTCTCCATACTTTGTCAGTCTGTAGGTGGAATAGATCATCCAGGAGGTTGAACTCCGTGAAGAGGAATTTGACATTAGGCTTAGAGGTAGGCTTATCAACAACCTGTCTTATGTAGATGACACAACCTTGCTTACTGAAACTGAGGAGGACATGAGGCATTTTCTGCAGTAGGTCGAGGACTGCAACCTTAAATATGGATTGAAGCCCAACATTAAAAAAAAACAAAACGAAGATTCTCACTACAGGGCCAATTGGCACCATCATGATAGATGTTGGAGAGATTTTTAACAGCTTCAGCTTGTTTGGTTCCACAATCAACACTCTGGTACCACCATCCAGGAAATCAAAAGATGGATTAGGAAAATCTGCTGTCAGGGACCTCTCGAGTGCTGAGGAATAATGACATAAGTCTAGAGACGAGTGTTCCTGATTCATTGTGTTCCTGATTCAAGCCATGGTCTTTGTAATTGCCATGTATCAGAGAGCAGACAATGACTAAGGATGGCAGAAGAATAAATGCCTTTAAGTTGTGGTGCTGGGCAAAAGTATTGAACATACCATGGACTGCTAAGAGAACAAATAGGTCTATCCTAGAGGGGGTAAAACCAGGCTGCTGCTTGGAGGCAAGGATTTTGAAACACTGTCTCACGTACTTCAGATTTGTGGCCAGGAGGGACCAGTTCTTAGAGAGGGCCATCATGCTTGGAAAGAAAGGTAGGAGGATATATAAGAGGGTGGGGTAAACACAAAGCATGAGAGGGCATGTGTGCCCAGCTAATGAGGGCTCCTGGCCTAGAGATGGGCCACCCCATGGTTCTTGTTCTCTAGTTGGGCAAGTGAGGGGAGCAGGTGAGCATACCTCCCACCTCTACCTGCCTGGTATAGCTGCTCACTGCCACACTTGGCTTGGGCAGCTGCCGCTGTACAATGGGCCTGAGCTGCACGCCACTCAATGTGGCCTCCTGTGAGCTACCTCCCACTTTGATGGCACACACAGTCCCAGGTGGGCTTCATTTGAGAATAAGATTGGGTGAGCTCCTGTTTTGTTTTTCTGTTTATCTAACCAATGCCTGTTGGTGCCTCTTCGATTTGATATTTTCAGTGCTGCTTTTGTGTACTCTCAAAACATACTTGTGACATTTTAACAGCAGTAATTTGAAACAAGTTTACATTGGAAAATGCATTACTTTCTTTCATTAATTAAATCACTTAATTATATTTCCTTTCCCCTTTTGTTTTACAGATGATCAGTAGAATTGAATATGTGCATACAAAGAATTTTATACACAGAGACATTAAACCAGATAACTTCCTAATGGGTATTGGGCGTCACTGTAATAAGGTTAGTCATACACTCTTTGCATGAGAAAAAACGAAGACTGTAATATCTCCAAGAATTGCTTTGGTAAACTTTAGTCTTTAAAAAGCCATAGTAAGTTCACTTTGCTTTTGAAAATTGCTTTGAAAGTTTGTGTTAGAAAATAATCAGCTAACTCTATTAACTTAGTAACTTGAAATAAATTATAGCTTAGCCAACCAAGGCTAGTTACCTTAATATGGAAATTTAAAATTCCAAAGCTTTATAATGAATTGTAATTATCTACCTTTTTTAGCTATTGAATAGTTGTATCTATTTTACATTCACTTGGATAATATAAAAATCACACTTTTTTTTTCTCCTGAATGCTAAAAAATCCATTTTAACCGTTGGCTCTGAAGTGTGACTTCTCTATAATATGTGCTTATGCCAGTGTGGGAACTACTGACCCATCTGTCACCATAGTGTTAACATTTGCTGACTAAGCATAGTTGATAATAAGAATTCCTTGGATTTGTATTCATAAGGATAACTTTTGGGCCTGCTTCCAAAGTAGTTGACAATTTCTTACTTGGGTGGGATCTCTGTCCTCCTTTTTAAAGGAAAATAATTACGTGAAAAGAGCATTCATATAATAAAACTAGTGTTCATTTGGTTCTCTGAGGATGACTGAATTTATGGGGTAATTGGGTTTTAGATAGTGGCGCATGACTGTAGTTAGAAACTAATTATGTTCACATTTTTACTTCATTGATTAGTTTGAGTAAATTGCTTAATATATCAATTAAATGTTGAGCTCGGGCAGACAGGCAGCATTGGCAATGCACTAAGCATGTTATGATCTGATGGAAACTCTCAACTTCAGGACAACTTGGGGACTTTTTTGTTTTTATTGGTATTTTTGATTTGTTTTTGAAAGGAAGATTCCCATTTGTTTTAACCATTAGGGAATATTTGATGTTTCTAGTTGTAGCTGTAAATGTTTACCTTTGTTTGCCTGTATGAATGCCAACTTGGAGTCACTATTAGAATTGATGTTACTTGTTAATGTTTGAGACATTACTTGATCTGACCAAGCTTAGGAAAAAATTTTTAAAGGTTTTTTTGGGGAGGGGGGAACGTTGAAACTGATTTTTTTAAATAATGAAGAGTTTAATCTACATAGCTTATTCCCAAATTGCATCTTTTTTTTTTTTTCTTTCTTTCTTTTCTTTTTTTTTTTTAAATAAAAATCCTGTGTAGTTTTTCCATGAAGCATCCAGGTTCTTCCTCTTGTTACAAAACCTGGTAATTCAGTTGAAAAAATTACTGGTCTTGATTTTTTCCAGTCAGTTTGACTATCTTCTGTTGGCCATTTCTTAGCTTCACCTTTCCATTTTCTTATCCCTAAAAATTCATTAATTATCCCCAAGTTATCTGTGTTCTGCATAGCCATTTTAGATTATTGTGGCAGTGCATGATTTTTTTTGTACTTTGAAATTAGATGATGGCCTAAGTAATATGCCCCTGCCTTTTTTTTTCTCCTTTCTCTCTCTCTTTTTTTTTTTTTGGTCAAAAGCAGTTTGCTAATTGCTTAGTTGTGTTAAGAAATCCAGGTTCCCCAGTGATTAAGGGCTTTAGGGCTTGTCCTCTCTATAGCTATCAGAAAGAATTGTGAAACTGCTTGCTGCTGTACAGTTTCAGAGAAACCCTGAGGTAGAAAGGGTTTTATTTAAAATGAGGGTCCATATCAAATAACTTCTCTTGAACAACATTTTGAACTGGTGTTTTATTTATGTAGTTGGTATTCCAGTTTTAAAATGCCAAATTTGAAAGCCTGGATTCTACAGCCAACTTGTTCTGATACTTTTCTGTTAGTAGAGGGAGAGGCCTAGTTTGGGGAAGCTTTTGATGTCACTTTTTAAAGAAAAAATTTTTTTATTTGAAAAATTGTTCTGAATTTGATGTTTTAGGAGTAACCTCCAAGTCTTGGTGAATTTGCACATCATTTCTAATAATCAGCCCTGCATGCTTATTACAAAGAAATTTTAAGGTGACTAAATGCCTTCTACCTCTTCCTTACTGAAGATTTGTTACCCCCATACAATATTTTTTGGGGGGAAGGGCAGCAAAGATTGCAGATCCAAATTCCCATTTATGAGTTAAAGAAATCAAAGAGCCAAATGTCACCATTGCTATCCCTATTTCAGGCAGTGACACAATATAGTGGCATTAAAAAATTTGAGCATTTTCTAGGATTCAAATATTCTTGAGAATGTGATTTTTTTTATTTGGAAAACTGAGACGCTACAGTGCTTGGTGGAAGAAGGATGGCATTTGGCTACCCTGTTCTTTCTTTAATGCCTCGGTGTTGCCTGTCTGCGCCGGCCATTGTTGCAATGTAAGCAATACTGTTTGATGCACTGCCACCCTCTATTGTCTGTTTAGTGTTTAGAATCTCCAGTGGGGAAGAGGAAAAGAAGCATGACTGTTAGTACTTCTCAGGACCCATCTTTCTCAGGATTAAACCAGGTCTGAAACTGTCTCCTATTCCAACCTCAATCCCAAATTCATGTGCTCTTCTTTTTTATTGTTTTATTTTTATTATTTTTGTTTTATTCTGGAGAATGTAGATCTTGTTCAAGCACCTCTTACGTTGGCATTATTCAGACATACTTGGCAAACATAATATTACTAAGATGTTTCTTTGTGGCTTTTACATAAACTTACAAAGTTTAGAAAATGAAAAATGGGATTATAATTAGAGCTCTAACATCTATATAAAGAAATGGTATGTTGATCTCATTGAAATTCTTTACCTAACGGTAAACTTCAGGTAAAAAGTTTGAATATGTATTTGGCATTGCAGAATTTAATGCATGAAATATATCTATTCAGTCGATCACTGCTTAATGAATGTCCTACCTCACCTCTCTTCCCTTCCCTAATGATGAACTCAGGTAAGTATAGATCACCTTTCAGACCTAGTATTTCTAGACTTGATCTTGGTCTGAATTCGTTCAACTAGAATCAAATCTCTGGTTAAAAAGCACTGTGTACTTTCTAACCAGAAGATCTTGTTCTTAACAATAAAGCATTCCTATAGTTGAACTTCATCAATTAAAATGATACATTGGTAATGCTTCAGATAGATGACTGTATAATCTGATGATTTTTGTTTTCTTGTAGGCTAGATATATTAAACAGCCCAGTAAATATCCAGATGCTCAGCTCTTAAGTAGAATGTCTCAAATACCAAGTTTACTTTTGTAGAAGTTAATTTTACTGAGTTTGAATCACAAATTTAATCTTGCCTATACTTACTATATTTACTTATATATTTAGAAGGTGATAGTGACATAACTAATGATCCCAAAAGAAAAGTGTTACATTTTATATAAGATTTTACCTTGTGGGAATTGTAATTACCCACATATATCTGCTACATTGTCTTGTAAATCCTTTTCCATGATACTCGGGATTATTCTACAGGGCACCTCCTAATACTAAGAAGGTTTTGAAAATTCTTTTCATAGACAAATATTGTTTATGGTGACAAATTTTGGTTGGAAAAAAGGCTTAGAGTTGAGATAACTACGTGCAGTATGAGATTATATAATTTTAAAATTCTTGTACCTTCATTTACTTATCATTTCCATTATATTTTACATTTTATAGCATAAATAGTATACATAAAGTTGTTTTCAATTGTTTATATTATCTACATATGTTAGCTTGTTTTGAGGAGAAATGACCTTGATTTTATAGAATATCCTGAGGTAGAAGAAAAATTGTTAGTATAAAAAATTAAAAATAGAACCTTTTTTAAAAAAAAAAATAGAACCTTTCTTTTTTTAAAAATATAGAACCTTTCTAGAGAAAATTCACCTATAAAAGATGAAATTTCCAGTTTATCAAAATACTAGTTTTTAAGAAATTTTTACCTTTGAAGAATAAGGTGTAGGTACAACTTTTGTTTAGAATATATCATTACTTTAAAAATCCACAATTTAACCACCAAAGGAATTAGTTCCTCCTTTTGCATGTGCCAATCAATAAAAATACATTATCTTGGCAAGCTCTGGTGGCCTAGTGGCAAGAGCTGCACTACAATCCCAGAGGTGTACAGTTCAAATCCACCAGAAGCTCTGCTGGAGAAGGAGGGGCAACCTCCTCCTGTACTAGTCAGATCCGATTTGTTGCTACACAACATAAAAATAATAATACATACATTATCTTAACATTGTTTAAAAAACTACTTTTAAAAAACCCGAAAAATACACTGTCTTGTGCCTTCCTGGATATTGACTTTTATGCATTTGGTTCTGCCTTTGTGGTTCTTTGATTGTATCAAAGTCTTTAGATCTTAGTTTTTAGATTCCTGATGCACAGCTGCTAAAGGGCCTTGATGATGAGTACCAGAAGATAATGAGGTTCTAAGAGTGATTTTTTTTAATTTCAAGTAGTTTTCCTTTCTTTTGCTTAATAGTAGTATACTTTTTTTAGCATCATATTTCTTTTGTAGATTTATTTTTATGAGGAACGAAGATTTTAAATTGGTTACCTAGTTTTTAGTTTTGTTATTAAATGTGTAGGATGAAAGCATTGATGTATTTAGTTTACTTGATAGATGGTTGTTTTTTGTTTTTGGGTTGTTTTTTTTTCTTCCTCTTTAGAGTTGTGGAAGGAAAGATCACAGTTCTTTTAGTTGGGTCTGGTTATTGGATCTTAAATGGCGCTTTGTATATAGATGTATCTGTGGATAAAATTAACAATATATGATCACATCAGTGTTCCGTTTTTCTCTACGATATTGAAATACTAAAAAGACAGTCTAAGAATAGCTCTTCAGAGGAGAGTCTGTGATAATTGTTCCTTCAAAATCCACATTTCTTGGAATATATTTAAAATACTATGAAGCTGGTGGTTCTTTCATGTTTCCTTTTCCCATGTTTTGTTTCAGTATGAATTTGCAGAACTTAGCTATAATTTTTATTTACATAACAAAAGTCATTGTGCTGTTTGTATGCTGAGTGGTTTGCATATCAAAATTTACCATGTGAGCTTTATTTTTTCCATATTTCATAACTTAGCTGATTATGAAATTAGCTTTTCATTATATTTAGTAAGAATTTGGTCTAAATAATATATATTTAAAAGGTATCTAATATATATGTAAATTAGGTCAAGAGAAAAAAGTATCTCATTGTTCATGTGGGGAAAGTATGTCAGACCTTATACTATGCAAAGTATAACTGAGACTAGATTGTAGTACTTAGCTGGAAACAACTGTTACTCATTCTCCTAAGAGGACTAGTTGGTTTAGCACTCTTCCCATTCCCCAACTCATTGACCCCCTTAAATCACTCAGTACTCTATATTGATTTTTTTCTGACTGGATTATAGTTCCCTAGCAAATTAAGAGTGTGAACTATGGCTGGAAAGCCCTAATTTATGACTAATAGAACAAAAAAGTGAGGCAGACCTAGAAAAGAACAATATGGCAAGGCTGTCTAATAGAATAACATGTAGCTTGCCTACTTTGATAATCTTTGCAGATTATAGCAATGTAATGAGTGATTTTTATGATACTCAAAAATTAGTTAGATTGTAGGTAGATGGGTGATGTGAGGAAAAAGGTGTTTTCCTCATCAAGGATTTTGGTTTACTCCCTCTCCGAGAGTATTAGAGTAAACTTGAATTAATTACATTCTGGATAAGTGACTTATTATTTTGCTAGAAGAGCTCTGGTGACCTACTGGTAAGGAGTTGTGCTGCCAGCCTGAAGTCAACTCAGTTCAAATCCAGAATCACCTGTCGTGCAGTTTACAACTTCTGAAAACCTACTGGAAGGTCAAACTATGAGTCAGTTCCAACTCAATGGCTCCCCACAACACCACTCCCTGGGTGCCATATAAATGAGACATTACAAAGCATTACTTTGCTCTAAAGTACTAGCTTGGTTTTTAGTTGTTGTTGCTATGTTTAAAATGTAATTGTAAGCCACCTTGAGAGAGACAGATACATAGCTAACTTGTCATCTTTTAGATGTTTAGCCTGAGTATTTATATAATAGTAACATGTTTCCTTAAGAAATAGAGTAATTTTGTTAATAAAAATTGTGATTTTTATTGGGAATATCAAACTGTCAGTGTTATCTTCATTTAGATAATGAGCGTTCTAGTGACACATTGAACCTTTATAATAGGAGGAAGGGGTTTGAGATTGTCTGGTTTTTTTAAACCCTTGTGTTTAGTATGAGTAACAACAGGATGTCAGGTTTCATTATAGCAGACAGCATAGTTTTCAACTTTGCTATCATTCTTCGCTAGAAATGTATAAAAGATAGGCTCTTGATTATATAATTAAAAATATGTAAGCAACAGGATAAACCACTTACCTATACTTGATTTCTTGATGGAGTGTTAAGTCTTATTCTGCTTCTGATGTCTATTTTGATTGAATAAATGCCATTAATAAGTAAGAACCCATTTACATGAGCAAAGTTGGAAACCTAATGTTTATTTATTTCTCTTTTAAAGTTATTCCTTATTGATTTTGGTTTGGCCAAAAAGTACAGAGACAACAGGACACGACAACACATACCATACAGAGAAGATAAAAATCTTACTGGCACTGCCCGATATGCTAGCATCAATGCACATCTTGGTATTGAACAGAGGTGAGTTTGAAAATTGGATAGTCTTACCATATTTGTAGAGTTCTGGTGGCCTAATCCATAGAAAGTTACCATGCCAACCAAAAGGCCTCGTGTTTACTGTTCTTATCCACCATTCTCCATGAGAGTAGGATGGCATTTCTTCCATTAAGTTTACAGCCTCAGAAACCTGATAAAGGGTTGCTAGGAGTCAGCCAACTTGATGGCATTGAGTGTCCTATTTGTAGCAGTTGCCATTAATTGATACTTGAAGTATTTGAATTCATTTGTAAAATGTCTAAACGTTTATTTAGCCAAACATTGGCTGAACATTTGAGTGATGCTTATTAATCTTTTAACCTGCTGCATTAATAATACAGGGAAGCCATTTAAATGAGATTTCTTAATTTCTTCATTAAAAAATCTCTGGGGAAGAGAATACCTTATGATGGAAGAGTTAAAAGCGAAATGCAATTTTAGCTTGATGTTTCATATTTAGCTGACGATATTTTTTAATGCTGATATTGGGCTTTATGCATTTCAGAGTGATGCACATGAATACATGTGATTAAATAATGTGTCTTTTTGTAGACCAAAGTATCACAAGGCTCTGTGTATGTACATATATATAATTACATATCTGTATAAATCTACACATGCTTTCATATAAATGTTTAATTAGCTTTAAAATGTATATTCTTACCAATATTCCTTATTTTTATTAGCTTCTCTAAAACTTGGAATCCAGTATTTTCATTAACCTTATTTAGAGAGTTGCTAAGCTGAAATTTTTTGCTGCTCTTTAAAAAACTAGAACTATTTATTTTCATAATTTTGTTTATGACAAGTACCTTCTTAAAAGAGGCACTGTGAGGGACTTTGAATAGTACTCTATCTTAATTTAGGAAACTTTCTTCTTGTGTACCTACCCATAATAATATCAGCTCCTGAAATTCTCTTTTCTAGTCGCCGAGATGACATGGAATCATTAGGATATGTTTTGATGTATTTTAATAGAACAAGCCTGCCATGGCAAGGACTAAAGGTAAGTTACAGGTTCACATTGTAAATTTCCTTTTCTTTTCAGAAATAGAAGTACATATTGGACAAATTAGCTTTATTTCCCCTATTTTCTTTATTACAAGCTCTGTTGTTTTTGTTGTGTATTGTTGAGTCGGAACTGACCCATAGTTGACCCAGTGGCAGGTTTTCAGAGGCAGTTAATTGCACTGGAAGATACTGCCCATCCTTCTCCTGAGGAGCAGCTGGTGGATTTGAACAGCATGTTTTTGGCATTACTATGCAGCCTTTTCCCACTAGAGCTCCCACAAGTTAACTTCTAATGTCCATTCCAAATCAGAGTAATCCCATTATGACTGAAGAAGAGTTTCCAATAAGCTGCCACTCTTTGGTAACTCCTTCTGGGTTGTATCTGGATGGGAGAGGGCTGTGACTTAAAAGAGCGGAGACTTGTGACTTGAGAATATTCTTATACAATTAACTTTATAATGACACCATCTAACAAGGACAGGTTTTTTTTTTAAATTGGTCTACTTTTGGTTTTGCCTTGTTTTTCCAAATTTGACCCCATCTGTTCTTACATTTTGTTGTTTTGATAAACTCACCTTTTCCTAATAGTAAAATAGCATCTTGAGACTCCTCAAAAACTAACAAATGTTAAAACCAGAAGCATTTTTATGTGTATTAAAATTATGCCTTAAGACTTCTCTTGGATCTCCATTATTTTGTTTAGTATATTAATAGTATAGTAATATTTACTATGTGATTGAATTTTTCATTTTCTCCAGGCTGCAACAAAGAAACAACTATTTGAAAAGATTACTGAAAAAAAGATGTCCACTCCTGTTGAAGTTTTATGTAAAGTAAGTATGTTTGATGGTGTTTTTGTTTTTGGTTTTTTTAATAACTCAAAATGGAAGTACTTACTTGTTAGGTAAAACTTAAAACATCCTGTTAGGTAGCTATTTACCATTTCAGATTTACTCAATGGCTTGAGGAAATAGAACTTTAAATCTGATCTGGTTCATTACCAGCTCAGCTCAGTTTGAAGCCCTGAGTCAATTCAAAATAGCTATTGTCCAGCTATGTTGTTGTTGTTTGTTAAGTGCCATCAAGTCATAGATGACTCACAGTGACCCTAAAAATGAAAGACCTGAGTCAAGGAAAAGACCACAAAAGACCCGTTTATTGAAGTTTCCGGAGGCAAGCCATTTTAGAAGTGGATGCCACTCCTACTTCCAAGCTGTTTTAACTGGGGAGCTCCACCAAACCCTGTCCACCATAGGTGGTAACCATTATCACATTTGGCACATCAGTGTTACAGTGTTTAGCATCACAGCAACCATGAGTTGCCTCTGTAGAGAAATGCACAGACCAGTACTATACCAAAAACAGTGCTATACCAAAAACAATTAGAAGAATGTTTGACCAAAAACAATTAAAACCAGGCCTGAGGGACACAGACTAAAATCACCTGCCTTGGGCTTGGTAGCATAACTTTCTGTCCACTAGGCCAACTGTAGCTCTCTCAATGTTGTCATTATTGTAAGTGCTGTCGAGTTGTAGACAACTCATAACGACCCTATGAATGAAAGACCTTGGGCTTGGTAGCAATTATATAACTATTGACCAACTATAGTATAATAGTATAATTAAAAGTTTAGACCATGATGGAAAATAGGATAACTGTGATCCCTTTCAAGTTTTCCATAAAATAATTTTACACTTGAAATAATTAAAAAATGCTATCTGAATGAATGAATGATGCAGTGTTAAAAGAAACATGAGCTGATATTTTGTAGACTAGGGAAATAGAGATGCCTTTTAAATGTCTCCCCATCTACAATTCTGACCTTTCTGCTTGTCTACAACAAAGAGTATTGAAGGGTAGATGACTTTGCATGATCTATCTTTTCTGAAAATCTGAGATTTGTTTTAAATAAAATACTCTTACATTATAGTCCATACATAGGAATTTTTAAAATCTGTGTGCTTTGGGAAGCATAACATCCTCATTTCTGTGCAGCTCAAAGAAGAAAAAGTCTCATCTGACTTACAAGTTGGTCATTTTTGCACACTGAAAAAAACCTTGAAATTGACACTTTAGTTTTTTTAACTTACTGTTTTGTGATTTTAACAAGTTTACAGAAAAGATTTTCATTCATTGTTGCACATTTCCCTCTCTTTTCTCTCGCCCAATTAACTGCCTATACACACATACACACACTCTCCCCCCCCCTCTCTCTCTTGCAGTTTTCCTCCATTCCCCATTGGTAATCATAAAAATACATAATTCATAATAGAGTGAATATAAGAAGATGGCACAGGATAGGATTAGGTTCATACCATTTGTTCATAGGGTTATGAGTTATACAGAACTTCATGGCTTCTAAGGACATGACTAAAATGATGCTTCCCCCCCCCCAAGTGTTTTTTTTTATGTAACTGATACCTCTTAATAGTGTGCCTCAGGAAACCCTATGAACCTGGAGAGAGGATGAAAGACACACAGGTGCTGAGGACTCTCCTTCATAGAGTTGCTATGAGTCGCCTGTGATAGCTTTAATTTCTATCAAACTGATAGTGTTCTTTTGTTAAAGTTGTGGTTTTCTTTTATATGACAAAAAGGAAATCGTACTTAACTCCATTTGTTGTTTGTTACTCATTAAAAATAAACATTGCAAATATTGTACCTGCCCTTTTTCAATTTGAATGATGAGAAATTTCTCAGAAGTTTTAAGTATATTTATAGTGGGTCAAATAGGTAGGGGGATGACCATCAACTGCAATTTTTTTCCCATTCCTTTCCACATCAACATTTTCTTGAGGAAAGAAAATAGAGGGGTTTATATTAGTAGTTCAACTTTTCATTTCTTTTCTTTCCTGTTGGTACTGATACATTAAAGCTTTAGATGTGAACTTGTTTAACTAGGTTGGAAAACCAACCTAGGTGTTCGGTTTTAGAGAATGCTTTCATTTGATGTGCACATTAGGTACTATTTTATAAGTGTTCAGAAGCGTGAGAGAGAGGAAATAACAGAATGTTAATAGTGGTGTCTATATTTTTTTTTTGTTCATTCTTTCCTGTTTATGTATTTACTACATTCATAAATTAATTTCTGGTTACCTTTTAGTTTATTTTTTATTTTATTTTGTGTGCGTTTACCGTCAAATCAGATCTGACTGGTACAGGAGGATATTGCGCCTCCTTCTCCGGCAGAGCATCTGGTGGATTCGAACCGTGTTCCTCTGGGATTGCAGTGTAGCTTCTTGCCACTAGGCCACCAGAGCTCCCCTATTTTTTGATGTTACTGAATTAGAAGACATAAATTACAGATAATCTAGGAATATGATAGGTAAGCTAAAGCATATGTGTTTCCTCCATCAATATTAAAAGATAAAGACACTATCCAATTATAATGATAAGAATAGAAAGATGACTTTTTTTAAGGTTTGAGGAAACCAACTCATAGTATTTCTTTTACTTCTCAAGATGTACTTACAAACTACTAATGCATTCTAAAAATGAGTTTGGCTTGTTGGTTTTAATTGTGTTTTAAATCTTAAATCTATAGGGCTTTCCTGCCGAATTTGCCATGTACTTAAATTATTGTCGTGGTTTGCGCTTTGAGGAAGCTCCAGATTACATGTACCTGAGGCAGCTATTCCGCATTCTTTTCAGGTCAGTTTTTAAGACATTTTTTTATATTGGAAAATTTGTTTGCACTGCATGTTCTTAAGAAACAGTAAATTTAAATAAAGAAGATTCGTGAAAACTCAGTCTGTGAGTTGGTTCTCACTCATAGTTACCTTTGCTGTGTTTCCAAAGCTATGAAACTCAGTGAGAGCAAACTGCCTTTATTTCACTCTTCAGAACCCTGTCAGAGACACTCAGCCTTTGAATTAGCCGTGAAACTTGATAAGGAATGCATCAACAGAACTCCCTTACGTAAAGCAGATCTATACATGAAAAATGTTTTTACTTTTGTTTTAGGTAAAGTTAGCAGTTGAATTGATTACCACATATTCCATTTGTATGCTCATCAAATTACTCAAAAGCTGGACTCGAAAGGTTAATGGGCATTAGAACTGGAGGAAGTATAGTCACTGTTATGCAGATGACTCGACCTTATTTTCTGAAAGTGAAGAACACTTGGAAGCAGAAGATCAGAAACTGTAGTCTTCAATATAGATTGCATCTCATTATCAAGAAAATAATTCTCACCATTGGACCAGTAGGCAACAAACATCATGATAGATGGAGAAAAGATTGGAACTGTCAATGACTTCATCTTAGATCTACAAGCAAACAAATACACTTGGTATCAGCAGTCAGGAGATAAGGAGACATACTACACTGAGAAAGTCTACAGTCAGGTTCCTCTTCAAATTCTTGAACAACAATGATGTTAGTTTGAGGACTAAGGTGTGCCTCATTTGGGCCTTGATCTTTTCTGTCACTGTCTGCTGCTGAGAGCAGAACAGTGAATACGGATGTCAGAAGAATTATTGGTATCTTTGAAATGAATATTTATGGAGTCCCAAAAGAATAAACAGTTGTATCTCGGAGAAAGTGCAGCTAGATTGCTTTCGGCTCCATGGATGATAAAACTTTGTCTTACATACTTTGGGCATGTTGACTAGGAGAGGCTATTAATTGGAGAGAAACTTTGTTTGGGATTGCAGAAGACAGGAAGACCTTCAACTGGGTGGATTTACTATAGCAATGGACTTGAGTGAGTCAGAGATTGTGAGGATGACACAGGATAGAATAGTTTTCAGATCATAGGATCACTGCGTTGTCCTTGACTCAACAGCACCGTAATGGTAATATCCTTTCCCCTAGTTGTGAGATACAAACAGGTACCCAAAAACATCAACCTAATTGTAGAAAGGAAATTTGCCCTTAAAATAAAATACTTTTTTAAAGAGAGAGAAAATATGTCTTTTGTGAAAAACTGTCCCTTAAAATCTTCAAAATTCAGTGGATTTCTTAGTTGGATACTTATCATTAACATGTAATTTTATATTTTCCAGGACCCTGAACCATCAGTATGACTACACATTTGATTGGACAATGTTAAAGCAGAAAGCAGCACAGCAGGCGGCCTCTTCCAGTGGGCAGGGTCAGCAGGCCCAAGCTCCCACAGGCAAGCAAACTGACAAAACCAAGAGTAACATGAAAGGTTAGTAGCCAAGAACCAAGTGACGTTACAGGGAAAAATTAAACACAAAATTGGATAATTCGTTTACTTCTAACAGTGTTAGATCAAGGAGGTGGTTTTCAAATACATCAAAAAATTTGGCTCTTATATTTAAAAAAAAGACGTCCTTGGAAAATTTGACTACTAACTTTAAACCCAAATGTCCTTGTTCATATATATATGTATATTTGTATATACATATATGTGTGTATTATATCATTTCTCTTGGGATTTTGGGTCATTTTTAACTACTGCATCTTTTTACTCATTCATTAACCCTTTTCCAAAATAAACATTTGGTGTTGGGAATACGGTATAATCAATCAATCCAAAATCCTAGACCTAACACTTGTTGATTTTAAGTAAAAAATCTGGTTAGCCATGATAATTTTACTTTCTTTTAGACTAACAGTGTTAAGATTCCCGCACCCCACCCCATCCCTGCATGTTAATGTTTAGGTTTTTTCTTTTTCTTTTTTGGGGGGAGGGGGGTGGTTGGCGGGGACAGGGGCACGCGCGGTGTGCGTCGAGGGAAACCTGGGCTAGCACGCCAAGCCAGTCGGCCAGAGCGCTGAAGGTCGCGCGCAGAACGCCACCGCCTCGCCACCCCTAATGTTTAGGTTTTAAACTGGGAACATTGTGAACTGATTTAATTTTGAGAGATGAGTCTGGCATTATCCCCAAAGTGTCTTTCCTGTTTGCAGAGCCTCTCAGTTGATCTCTTATATGCTCCATTACCTGAAAAAGTTTTGACACTTTTTTTTTCCTAGACACTAGAAAAATACATGCTTTTAATTTCAAAAAGCTTTTTTAAAAATGTAAAACAAAAGCCTCTTAACTTCGTGAAATACTCAGGCTCTCGGTATCCAGTGTGGAATTAATATCTGTAACTAAGCCTTTCCATTTAAAGATACATGGAGAAAATGCCAACAAGCCTACATTTCTTCTGATAATCTCAGTGCTACTAAGAATGAGAAGTAGAACTGTTAGGGCACACACAGCTCCAGTTCTTAGCACTGTTGCCAGACGGTTCCACTCCTGTGGTCATTTTTATTTGCTGGTTTATTTTTGTTTTCAACTCTCTGGGGCTTACCCCCAATACTCTCCTACTTTCTTGTGTATGTGGTTGGCAGGTAAGGTTTTTGGGGTATTTTTATTTCTGAATGACCTCACTTGTCTGAACTTGGCTCTTACAGCCTCACGTGTAATCCATATTTTTAGTATTATATTTAATTGGAAAATTCTTTAAACTGATGTAATCATCTTCATCCCAGCAGCTTATCTATTAATCATGACGTTTAAATGCTTCCACTGTTGTACTTGGGAAAAATTGAAAGTTTAATGTAGTGGACTGACTAGCCAACGCTAGTTCTTTAATTTCAGTTAAAACTGAATTTCTTGTTTTGAGGCTTTTAAAATCTCTTTGGACTAATGATAGTATCAGTACATTGAGTGAGTAAAGTCTCTATAAGGAAGGCTGCTTCACTTGACATGCATAGTAGCTTTTTCTCCACAAAGAAAGCCGTTTTTGCTTGCTAAATTTATGTAGCCAACTGGGATAATAAGATCATCATGTGTTGTTGTTGTTGTTATGTGCACTCTGTCTCCGCATGCCCTACCTCCATAGGGGCCTATTTATTGTTATGTGATGTAGAGTCACTTGCCACTCATAGCGACCCTATGTACAACAGCCCTAAACCCTGCTCTGTCCTGTGCCAATCGCTCTGCCTCTGACACACCCATCCTGATTACCCCAGTCACTGAATCAATCCACCTCATAGAGGGTCTTCCCCTCCTGCGCTGTCCCTCCACTCT